ACTTTCTGGATCCACTCTTGAAATCGAATGATCCAGAAGTTATATGTAGGATGATAAACCTGTGAAATAGAAACTTTGCCAGGAAGAATCTGGTGTATTCTCTATTTTCATATTAGTTCTAGATTTTACAAAGGAAATATAAGTAATAATTGTTAGCACTGGAGACCAGACTTTTCATTTTATGAAAGAGAATCCTAACAGCTGTATTTATACTCTGATTTTGTACAATGTAAGTTCAACAACGTGGCTTCCCTGGTTGACAATATACAAAAGCAAAGTTTTTTTATATATAATTCTTGTTATACAAAGAGGAGGCCTTTAATGCAGTGAACTGTGTCCATAGCATTGTCTGATTTTAAGAAATATTATGGTATTAATTTATCTCTATTTAAAAAAATAATACAGTACCACCTCCTAATGAGATGCATTTAGCTGCAGGACAAAACTGACAGCTGCTTATTGGGAACTGACATTGTTAATGTTGGAAAGAATTTGTTGAGTCAAATTGCATGGATGTCAGGTAGATAAGACTTCAAATGTCTAATTCATCATCTTAGCTCAGGAGAAATTTGTTGGAGCTAATACAGAAGTATTCCATCCTCATTTAAAAAACAAAAAAAGCCTTCCTAAGAGGCAGCTTCTATTTGTCAAGTACATAGTCTGTTTCAAAAGATTTTTTTTTTTTATCCCTGCAGAGTAAAGACTGATTTTGTTCTGCGTAATCTCAATTTGACCTTTTGGTTCTGCTACTGCTGTGTAGCTCATATCTGAGCGTGATTTTGAAATATATTGTTAAAACTTGTTAGGCTGTATGTTTTAAATGCACACATACGTTGAACATGTGGCATGGGCTAGATCTTCAAAAGAGCTGCATTCCCATTATGACACTTGGGGTCAGATACTTTTTATGCTAGTGTGACTGGGTAGTGGTTGCTAAGGTCGTGTCTAACTTCGTTTCACTCCCCTTTTTCTTGTACCTCAATTTACCCCTCTCTTTGAAGCAGAGGCCAAGGTGTGTGGTGTGGGGGTTTTTGAAAGGACTTCTCAGAAATCTTAACCAGAGTTAAACCTCAGAATCATAATGCAAATCCCTGAATGTTGATGGTACTAGCAGTTGTCAGTCAGCCTCAAGGAGGGTACGATATGATTTTCTTAGTGAACAAATATTTTATATGAACGCCAACTCTTGAAATACTTCAACTGATTTAATATAAACACTAGGCACTGCACCTATTGGTGCTTCATGTATAAAATCTTTACTTATAATTCACTACAGGGTTTCAACAGGGCATATATGACCTATTATACATTCTGCTTTGAAATTCTTAGGGGGCGGTGAGTGTGTGTGTGTGTGTGTGTGTGTGTGTGTGTGTGTGTGTGTGTGTGTGTGAGAGAAACACTCCCCTGAGTCCTCCCAGAGCTGAAGGAAAATGGGAACCTCAGTTTCCTTCCAAACACTTCAGAACCTCCTCAGCTGTACAGTCAGGAGAGCTTCACACCCGGCCCCAGGCGCCCCCAAGAGCAGCTGGGGTGCTGCCGGGTTGGTCCCGCAGCCCCGAGGGGCAGCGCTACCAGACCAACCCGGCAGCACCCCAGCTGCTCTGCTCCCGGTTCCCCGATTCAGCTGCTGGTCAGTTTCAGCAGCAGCTGAATGGGGGAAGCCTGTCCGGCTGCCCCAGCACTTCCGGGTTCCTGATAGTGCCAGACCATCAGGAGTCCCGCAGCATTGGATGCTGGACTAATGGAGTTTTGCTGTATATACAAAAAAGCCTGAACTCTGTTTCTTTCTTACTCGGCCTATCTGAAGACTTTGATTATTATTGATGGAAGTATGTTTTCATCAGTCTGTCTAATTTTTCTGAGCCTGAGTTTTACAGTAGCATTTAGAAGATGCCACTGAAATCATGATCCCATTGTGCTAGATGTTGTATAAACACATAATGAGGGCCTGCTCTTGCTCTTAAACTTAGTTTTTAATTTTTTTTACTGCCCTTTATATAGTGTGGTTTTGGGCTCAGTCTGGTTTCTAGGGATATTTAGAGATGACTGTATTGTGGAGTTGTAGCAGAAAGACCAAGCAGAAAGGTCTGTCTTACTGGTTGTGGAGAACAAATTGCCCCATTATAAATTGTAATTCTAGGTGAAGTTTGAAGCATGTTGGCAGGGCAGCTTCAGCAGTTTGCATGGCTGTTTCTGTGCAGCACCTGCTTTGGAGATAAATAAGCAGACCCCTGAAAATCCACAAATCTGCTTTATTCCCACAGATATTCACATCTGCAAATGTGGCTATGAATATCCACAGGTCACTTTTTTGGTTGCAGATGCAGATAAAATTTTGCATCTAGAACACTGCAAATTTGAGGATACCTGCTTTATATTTGTCGGTATCTGAATCCTTGGATGTCAAGGTGGATATCCATGGATCGCTTTTGCAGATGTGTATGTGGCAACAAATTCTGTATCAGTACAGGATTCTCTAAAAACATCTGGCTCTACTCTGGGACTTTGAAAGCAGTCACTGTGTTTAAGTTCTATGGAGTTGGTCACTTAAACATTCTCCTTTTATATATTAGATTAAGTTTGTGCGCTAATAACTTGGACATTATAAGAGCTACCATAACCAAACTTTTCATGGGATAATGTTTCATCCAGGAGAAGGTTTTAAGGTACTTTTTGACCTGATCGGTCCCGAGCTCAAGCTGTAAAAATAAAAAAGTAACCCGCTGCGTTGTTGCAGGGGCTGCCCCACCCACCCTAGGTCCCATGCCCGCTGCCTGTGGCTCCCACCACCGTCCAGGACTCACCGCCTCCCACCCATGAGATTACATAAGCGACCCTCTCTTCTCTCCTTCCCCCCTCCCCCAATGCATGCCGGCACGCAGTGCCCCGGCACCCCACGTGCACAATGGCTCAGGCACCTGCCCTGCCCCCGTGGCACCTGCCGCCCCAGGTGTGAGCTGGGTTGCCTCTCCTGCATGTAACCTCCCCTCCACCTGGGATCGTGCACCCTCTCTCCCCCTTCCCTCCCCCCCCCCAGGGGGATGACGCGGACCAATATTTTAATCCCTATAGAAATCAGTGCAACTTTTCTACCATTCAAAAAAGATAATGGATTACTGTTTTTCTACATTTTGTTGTTCCGGTTTCCCGAGCAACGCTGGGTAACTCCAGCTAGTATTAAAATAATTAAACTTAAAATGCTAGCCATGTTTGAATCTGCAGCACTGTTTTATGGTTGGACTCCCCTTTCCCCATGTAGTTTGCAGTGGAATGGTTTCTAGAATATTGCACATGTCTGTTCATACAGTAGCTTCTGTTGAGGTTTTTGTGACCAATCAAGGGGAAGACAGTGGAGTTTACTGTACATTGTTCAACCTCTTATTTTATTTTTGTGTGGCTGCGATCATCCCATTGTAGAGCTCCTTGGTGTGACTCTAGGGAGCAGAACAAGATCTGCTAGTCTGGAGTAAAGGATGTAAGCGACTAGTCATCTGTCCGATAAGCAACTCGACTAGTTGCTTCCTCTTCTCTCCTCCCTCCCCCCCTTGCCTCTATCAGAGAGAGGCAGCTAGCAGGGGGAGCAGGATCCAGTGCTGTGGGGAGCTGGCTTAAAAGCTGGTTCTTTCTTTCCCCTCCTCCCCCCAGCACCATCTCTGAGGAGAAGGGGCGGGGCATAGTGGGGAACTGACAGCACTTCTGCCTTTGAAATGCAGCAAGAGGAGAGCTCTTGATACATTTCAGAAGCAGAATTGCTGCAGCGAGCCTGGGGCGTGCTGGGGACTCAAACAGTCTCCTGCTGGTGCCATGCTTCCTGCTTTTGAAATGTACAAGAGCCCTCCCGGGAAGTGCTGCGAGGAACATGGCCAGCGAGGGACTCAAGCTGTTCCCTCTTGACCCTGCGCTCCTGGTGGTGCTTTGCTTTTGAAATGTACAAGGGCTCTTGTACATTTCAAAAGCAGGGAGCTGGGAGCCAGCCAGGGGCTCTTGCTACATTTCAAAGGCAGAGGAGCCCTTATTGACTAATCGAATAGACAATGCAAATTATATCAACTATTCGATTGGTTGATTGATCTAAATTTAATATCTTTACTCTGGAGTAATTTCTAGATTGTTCTATTTTTGTTGGAAATAAACACTTTGATCTCTTCAGCCAGAGGGAATATTTGCACTCAGATCTACCAAAATTCCTGGTGTCTTCCTAGTTTATTCTTCAGGAACATTTCCCTTCACAGGTACTTACGAAGCAGGACTCGTTCCCTCATGCAGTTTTTGTTAAAGTGACTGCTAGGACTGGAAAATGTGAAGTATGCAACCCCTCTCAAGCCTCGCACGGATGTTCCTCTGCACGCAGGGCAGTTAAAAGCAGATCCTTGTGAGCCAAACCCTTCTGATTGGTTTCCCTGTAGACTAGGAAAAGCTACGAATAGCAGATGAATTTCCAGATTTCATTTGATATGGTTTATAGGCAGTTTATTCATCTGCTACCTATGAACCAAGCTTTTAGTGGCTCACTTTTTGCTCTGGGACCAGGTAGTCTCTGAAATGAAATTAATGGAATTTGCGTGAGAGCATCTAGGAGAGATTTAATCAACAGAGAATGTACTTTTGAGTTAAGCATTACTTCAGGCATTAGCGCATAGCTGAGTCAGTTATCCAGAGCCTAGACGTAGCTTGCTATGCTATCTGAAGTCATACTTCCAACTCCCAGAAGGAATACACAAGGCCTGGAAAAGCATACGGGGTCTGACTTATTTTCTGGTTGTGTAAAAAGCAGTAGTTCCTACTATGCAACCCAAATCTTCCTTTAGTTTAGTTTTAATCTTATTCACAGGCAAGAACAATATGTGGAGTGCACATGTTGTCCTCCAGCCTCTGGGGAAATTTACAACTTTTCATTACAGTGGTAATGTAAAGGCTGTAATTTCCCTCCGTTCAGGTATGCACTCCACAGCCTTTATTTTGGTACTCAAATTCATTCTTCCTTTTTCCTCTTTCCACAGTATTTGATTCTGAAACTCGAAAGACCTGCCATAGTCCAAAGCATCACCTTTGGCAAATATGAGAAGACTCATGTCTGCAATTTAAAGAAGTTTAAAGTCTTTGGTGGGATGAACGAAGAAAATATGACAGATCTATTATCCAGGTAAGAGATGATTTCAACAACTTGTAAATCATCTAAATCCAAGGCTGGACCAAAGTGTTCTTTCCTCCCCTCTTCTCCCACATGGCACTCATTAATAGTGCAAAATGGTGGCCTGTGTTGGCTCCTATAACCCCATGTAGAGTCCATGCCAGATAACAGATGTGATACGGTCCAGGCCAGGGAACATATGTTCCAAAATTTAGTTCTGGGAAACCTTCCCTACCTTGTTCTAATCAGAGGAGTTGCAGAGAGTGAAATCCTGGAGGTTTTGAAGAGCCAGGGTGCAACACTTGATTCCTTTCTTCTGCGTACCTGAGACTCTTAACTAAATTTGAGTTCCAGTTGTGGGAAACTTAATAGTACAGGTCTGGACTACTCCGCTGCATTACCTTTCTTCATATTGATCTGTCAAAGGGCAAAGTACAAAACTAATTTATTTCCTTTGTTTAAAGTCACTTGATTTGGTAGTCCAGTGACAGATATTTTATGTAAGGAGGCAGGTTCATTGCCAGTTTTAGACTTGTCATGGATATTAGAATAATTAATGTAAGTTTGAGAAGGCCACCTAGTCAGTCTCTGGCCTAAGTGAAAGGGACAGATAATTTTTAGATCAAGCTAAGAGGAGCTATACAGCAAGAGCCAATGTTAGATGGAGGCCTGCAACAAGAAAGCCGAGTTGTGGGGAGCATGTTCCTAGTTTGTTGAAGTAGTTCAGTACTTGCTGACTGCACTTCCTTGATCAAAGAATCAGACCGGGGCGGCCCTAGACTAGCTGTCAGCAACTGGCACCCTAGGCGAACCATGCAATTGGCGCCCCCACCTCCAAACCCCTCAACAATATTGTGCCACCATTTTGGCACTCCATTTAACTTGGCGCCCTAGGTGACCGCCTAGTTCGCCTATATGGACGGACCGCCCCTGAATCAGACTAGTGCTGCCTTACCAAGTTGAAAACATATGACATGGGGAACCTTGTACATATTCCTGTAAGACCCTGTAGTAGGATTTCAAAAGCATCTTTAAATAGGAGCTACCTCAAATGAGTCCTTTTTTTTTAAAAATTGCTATTGCTTAGTACTTGAATTGTGGACCAGCTTGATGGTAAGAGGGAAGGATTGAAATAGTATGCTACTAGTTAGCTGGTATAGTTGAGGTCTTTGTGTCATTTGTAATTCATTAAAACATTTGACTTCTCAGTTTGCCAGGAATTATTGATTTATGTATATTTTTTTGATAAAACTAGACTTTATGTAGTACTTTTCATCTGGAAATCCGTTAATTCTTACAATGTTCCCATGAGAGGGGCAAGTATTCTTATCTATGGCTTGCAAAGGAAAGCTGAATTAGAGAAGTGACTTGCCTAAAGTTACAGTTGGAGTCAGCAGAGACAGGAACAGAATAAATGTCTCCTGACTTCAATTCCTTGTTCATATTGTTAGGCATGCCACCTCCTTTGGAGGTGGAGTGGCTGATAGCAATCCAGACACTAGTCCAGCATGCTTGCTTATGAATCAGTAGTAAAATCAAAATATCACATTAGACATGACCTAGGTTGCATTTATTAGTTAGTTCTAAAATACAAGGTAAAATTTAGTAACTTTATTTATTTTTTCCACAGTGGCTTAAAGAATGATTATAACAAAGAAACATTCACCTTGAAGCATAAAATTGATGAACAGATGTTCCCCTGTCGATTCATTAAGATAGGTAAATGCATTTTTTCAGCATTCTGAGTAGAAAATAATCTCTTGTGCCAATCTTGGCGCTTGTGACTCTGCTGTACTCCGGCAAAATATCCAAAATAGTTTTTCCATTCCATGGTCTTTTAGGTTGGTTAGGTTAGAATACAAAGAAGTCTTGTAACCAAGGAATAATAGCTTAATATTTTAAGTCCTATGAGCTGCAAGCACAGTAGAATGCAGACTTAAAGAAATGTAATCATGTAGCCAAACAATATTGCTGGGGAAGCTGCTTCCTATGCTCCAGAGCATTCTATCTGATCCCTCAAGGTATGTCTACACTGTGATTTAGAAAAAACTCACAGCACTGAGTCTGAGCCCAGGTCAGTTGACCCAGGCTCATAGGGGTTGGGCCATGGAGCTGTAAAATTTCAGTGTAGATGTTTGGGTAGGGGCTGGTTTCTGGGCTCTGTGATTCCCTCCAGGCTGAGCCTGAATGTTTACATAACAATCTTTATTAGGCTCTCACAACTATAAAATTACCTGGGACCAGCAATGGCTGTGATGCAGGTCTTGCATTATTGTTTAGAGGTACCCTCAAATCAGATACTTGTTTTGTTATAGTGGCTATTGTTTGAAAGGAAAAAGCAAGGACATACAGGAAGAAAAGAGAAGGAACGAGAGGCTCTGGATTTGCTTTTCTTGCTCACCCAGGCTTGCCTGAGTGACTGAATGGGGGTCCTCTCGGAATCCTTCCCTGTCACTCATATCTCTGGTAGAGTATTGTGAAGCAGTTTTTCTCTGTGTGCTAGCATCCAGGGAAGTGAGAGGTTAGGTCCAGAAATGTCATTTGAGAGGCAGCCAGAAGCCCTAACTCCCCTAAGTGTGCAAGTGTAGTTTTTGTTGACTGTGCCTTTTTCTCTGATATTTTGGCCATATAATATGCAAAATTTAGCTCAGAAATGTAGTGGCAGAAGTGCAAGCTAAAGCAGCACAAATTCTGCACTAAGTATAGAATGTGTATCACGAGAGTTGTTGCCTTTTAAAACATGCTGAGGCTTACCTATTTTGTCATAGGATACAAATATTATTCTAGTATTCCTTTTTACATGTTGGAATCTAAAGTGGAAAAAAAACTCCAGTAACTTCATGGTCATCTTCAAAAGCGACAAGGAGTCGCTTTATGGACATCTTGTGAGTTTACTAGAGCACTTCATTAGTGCTGCTTTGCCTTTCAGAAAATGGTTCAGATGCGTTTTTGAACTCAAATTTACAAGTGGCTGTTCTTAAAAAGTCACGGTTGAATGTGTACTTTGCTCTGATTGAATGAAACTTATTTGAGAGGTTATAAATAGTTGTGTGAAGTATGTTCATTCATTTACACGTGCTCCTGCATGAGGGGTTTGGAATGCCCAGAAGTGAATACATATTCCTAGTATTTTTCATAGACTGTGTGTAGGATGATTTTCATACTATTCCTTGGGAAATCATGCGTTGCGCAAAACATACATTCTGCCCAAGTGGTGCTGCAGTTCGACATACCCACCAGAAGCCACTGTGGTGCAAGGACAACCAATAGCATGAATGCAGCCAGCTGCTTGGTGCCACAGTGGCCTCTGGTGGTCAGTAGGTGGAACTATAGTGCTGTTCAGGAAGAACAGGCAGGGGGAAAAAAGGAGGAGTTGCACTGTATGTAAGAGAGCACTATGATTGCTCAGAACTCCAGTATATAGAGGGAGAAAAGCCTGTTGAGAGTCTATGGGTCAAGTTTAGAGGTGTAAGCAACAGAAGTGATGTTGTGGTTGGTGTCTGCTACAGGCTGCCGAATCAGGAGGATGAGGTAGATGAGGCTTTCTTCGGACAACTGAGAGAAGTTTCCAGATCGCAGGCCTGGGTTCTCACCGGGGACTTTAATCACCCTGACATCTGTTGGCAGACCAATACGGCAGTACACAGACAATCCAGGAAGTTTTTGGAGAACGTTGGAGATAGCTTCTTGGTACAAGTGCTGCAGGATCCGACCAGAGGCTATGCGCAGCTTGACCTGCTGCTCACAAAAAGGGAGGAGCTAATAGGGGAAGTAGAGGGCAGGTGACAACCTGGGAAGCAGTGATCACGAGATGGTCGATTTCAGGATCCTGACCAAAGGAAGAAAAGAGAGTAGTAAAATACACACCTTGAACTTGAGAAAAGCAGACTTCGATTCCCTCAGAGACCTGATGGGCAGAATCCCCTGGGATGCTAACATGAAGGGGGAAGGAGTCCAGGACAGCTGACAGTATTTTAAAGAAGCCTTATTGAAGGCACAGAAAGAAACCATTCCAATGCGTAGCAAGAGAAGCAAATATGGTAGGAGACCGGATTGGCTCACTGGGGAAATCCTTGGTGAACTTAAACACAAAAAGGGAGCTTACAAAAAGTGGAAGCTTGGACAGATGCCTAGGGAGGGGTATAAATGTATAGCTCGAGAATGCAGGGGGGTTATCAGGAAGGCGAAAGCGCAATTGGAGTGGCGACTCGCAAGGGATGTGAAGGATAACGAGAGGTTTCTACAGGCATGTTAGCAAGAAGGTGATCAGAGAGGGTGTGCGGCCCCTAGTGGAAGAGGGCGGTAACCTAGTGATGATGTGGGGAAAGCTGAAGTACTTAATGCTTTCTTTGCCTCTGTCTTCACGGACAAGGTCAATTCCCAGACTAATGCGCTAAGTGACGCAAGATGGGATGAAGGTGGACATCCTTTGGTGGGGAAAGAACAGGTTAGGAACTATTTAGAAAAGCGAAACGTACACAAATCCATGGGTCCGGACTTAATACATCTGAGGGTATTGAGGGAGTTGGCAAGTGTCATTGAGGAGCCTTTGGCCATTATCTTTGAAAAGTCGTGGAGATCAGGAGAGATCCCAGATGATTGGAAAAAGGCAAATGTAGTGCCCATCTTTAAGAAAGGGAAGAAGGAAGATCGAGGGAACTATAGACTGGTCAGTCTTACCTCAGTCCCTGGAAAAATCATGGAGGGCATCCTCGAGGAATCCATTTTGAAGCACTTGGAAGAGGGGAAAGTGATCAGGAATAGTCAGCATGGATTCATGAAGGGCAAGTCATGCCTGACCAATCTGATTAGCTTTTATGATGAGGTAACTGGCTCTGTGGATATGGGGAAGTCAGTGGATGTGATATACCTTGACTTTAGCAAGGCTTTTGATACGGTCTCCCACAATATTCTTGCCAGCAAGTTAAGGGAACATGCATTGGATAGATGGGCGGTAAGATGGATAGAAAGCTGGCTGGAAGGTTGGACCCAACGGCTCGATGTCAGGATGGTGGTCGGTTTCTAGCGGAGTGCCCCAAGGTTCTGGAAACGGTTTTGTTCAATATCTTTATTAATGACCTGGATGAGGGGATGGATTGCACCCTCGGCAAGTTTGCAGATGACACTAAGCTAGGGGGAGAGGTACACATGCTGGAGGGAAGGGATAGAGTTCAGAGTGACTTAGACAAATTGGAGGATTGGGCCACAAGAAATCTGAGGTTCAACAAGGCCAAGTGTAGATTCCTGCCCTTGGGATTCTTCCGTCCCAAGCATTGTTACAGGCTGGGGACCAACCTGCTAAGTAGCAGTTCTGTAGAAAAGGACCTGGGGGTTACAGTGGATGAGAAGCTGGATATGAGTCAGCAGTGTGCCCTTGTAGCCAAGAAGGCTAATGGCATATTAGGTTGCATTAAGAGGCGCTTTGCCAGTCAATCCAGAGATGTGATTATTCCTCTTTGCTCTGCTCTGGTGAGGCCACATCTGGAGTATTGTGTCCAGTTTTGGGCCCCCAATTACAGGAAGGATGTGGATGCATTGGAGAGGGTCCAGCGGAGGGCAACCAAAATGATTAGGGGGCTGGAGCATATGACCTATGAGGAAAGGCTGAGGGAGTGGGTCTATTTAGTCTGCAGCAGAGAAGAGTGAGGGGGATTTGATAGCAGCCTTCAACTTCCTGAAGGGAGGTTCCAAAGAGGATGGAGAGAGGCTGTTTACAGTAGTGACAGATGGCAGAACAAGGAAAAATGGTCTCAAGTTGCGGTGGGAGAGGTCCTGGTTGGCTATTAGGAAAAGCTATTTCACTAGGATGGTGGTGAAGCACTGGGATGGGTTACCTAGGGAAATAATGGAGTCTTCATCCCTAGAGGTGTTTAAGTCCCAATTGACAAAGCTCTGGCTGGGTTGATTTAATTGGGATCGTTCCTGCCTTGGGCAGGGGACTGGACTTGATGGCCTTCTAAGGTCTCTTCTAGCTCTATGATTCTGTGCATAGGCAGCATGTATTTTTCGAGGGGATGAAGGGGACATTTTTGTGCATGTGTGATGGCACAGAATTCCCCTAGTAGTAGTTCGTCACAGCACCTTTCCTGTTGAGCCAGGTTAGGACAGATAGGAAATCAGACTGGGGTTCAGAATGGGGTGAAGGTTCAGGAGCTGGTGGGGAAACATTGTTGAGCTCAGAACTGAATGAGAGTCGAACTGCAGGAACATATGAGGGTGGGGAAGGAGCTGGTAGAGACCTTTGGGGAAGAAGGGCAGATGTGCCTAACTGGATAGGAAAGGCTTGGAGTCTGTCGGAAGATTCTGAACTCCCTAATAACCCCTCTCCCCCAAACTTCCACATCCTCTTTCATACTTATGCTACCTATACCCAACAACCCTTCAGGTTCACTTTAGGCTTCTTTCCTCTCTCTCAGCTTCTCTATTACTCCTGACCCCCTCACCCTTTGCACTGCTTCTGATGGTGCAGGAAATTCATTTTTGTAATGTAACTTTAACTAATTACGGAGAAGAGCAACAAGAATGAGGGAAGGCTGAAGGAAATGGGTTTGTTTAATTTTGAAAAGAGAAGATTGAGGGGGGATATGATAGCAGTTTTCAGATATCTAAAAGGGTGTCCTAAGGAGAAGGGAGAAAACTTGTTCATCTTGGCCTCTGAGGATAGAACAAGAAGCAATGGACTGAAACTCCAGCAAGGGAAGTTTAGATTGGACATTAGG